CTTTAAGTATTGCTGGATTAAAAAAAAATAATGATGAGCATACCTTCTTCTTTCGCTTTGTAAGTATTGTGATGTTCACTGACTGTGAAAACAATCAATTTCTAAAGAAATGAATAATGATAATGATTCAGTGTTTATATAGCGGTACTAAATATGGAGGCCAACTAAAAGATTGGCAACATAAGGCTAGTTTAACCAATAAAATGAAGTTCATGAACAATGCCGGATATTAAATAAGCCTTTTAAAATCTATTTTCAATTAAAAAGTTACCTCCAATGCCCTCATTCATCACGTGACTATTTGTTATCGAAGAAAGAGCTTTTTCAGAGAGAGTAATTCTCCGTAATACGTGTAAATAACGGGAAATGCTAAACATAACTCAAAGTGTTATCAAAAGCGAATACATGGGCTTAAAACATCGATAATTGTGCCCTCCAGCTTTCCTCTTATGATCAATGTCCTTGTGCCCATTCGAATAACAGAACATATGAACTAATACAATAACAATCAATATGTTGCACATGATGTTTCAAAGTTTAAACTTAAAACTACTGGTGGAGTACATTCAAAATTCTTTGTAGCATGTGGCCTCATGATATGAAGTGATAATAGAGAGTTTCGACAATAAAACAATACTTGATCTTGCAAAGAGGAGCTAGTATTGTAGCAAAATTCAAATGATTAAAAAACGTGAAAACCTGCAAGTTAGCAACAACGCCCTCTCCCCCCCAAAAAAATTCTATTTATACACTACACCCTCTCCCCCCCCAAAAAATTCTATTTATACACTATTATATCGACGGTATTTTCGATCTCTAGAGGGGTGTGTAGGGTGTTAAAATCGTTCGAGTTCATTGCAATGGAAACGACTAGATTAAATTTTAGTTTCAACCAATAGTAGTGTTACGGTCAGCATTATCTCCATTCCTATTGGATAAAACTAGCTTGTAAAGAAGCTCATAAATTACACTATCAATTGGTGTGGCATTAGTGTAATCACACGAATAGAGATAGGATAAACTTCTACACTAACACAGAACCAAAAGTTCTTGAAAGAAACATTCCTCGTCATACATGATGTATGTGCAACTAGTAGCCTTAGCTACACTGGTGATATGCTTTGTGGTCGATGCTCACATGGGTCTTTCGTACAAAGGTAAAGTAGAGAAATTGATAAATCATCAGAGAAACCAGGTGTTCGAAATCACTACTTGATGTATGTAAGAAGTAAGAGATAGAAAAACGATGATTTTTTCTTCATACAAAGATAGGATAAATGTAAAAATTGACCTCGTATCTCGAGCAAAATTGAACTCACGCCTTTTATCTCAGCTGCGTCAAGCAGCGGCAGAACTATTGTCCGTCAAAATAAATTATATCTCCTCAATTTTAAATTTAAATTACAGTCAGAAAAAAACTATTGGTTTTTAATTTCTAAAGAATATAAGTTTGCGAATGAATTTGCCTCTAAAATGTTTAGAAATGTAAATATACGCCAAAATGTGCTGCGGTAATTTATTTTGACGTACTCTGGAGCAGTCACAGGCGTCAAGAGTAATTGCCACAAACAGAGTGCATTATAGGTGCTTACCTGCCGCATAAATAGCGCCGAAAGTCTTTGATGATTTTCATTCGTCGGCATTTCTGTACACCAAATGTATATTGCATCTATAACAAGAGACGTGGAGGCTCAAACAAATATTTGTTGTAAAAATTGAATGATGCCAACAGCATCCTCGAAAATAAATATATGGCGATGAAATGAAATGAATTAATAAACACAGTCTAATAATGATAATCAACGCCATTGAATCTATCATCGGGACTTTAACGATGTGTGCACATGAAATACAGTCACGTAACATGCAATTTAAGCTAAGACGTTTGGCGAATGCGGAAAGAGTTATAAGAGTTACGGGGAAATTTGATTGAATAGTGAGCACAAAGCACTTTTTTTCATCTCAAAAATTGTGTAAAGTTCGATATTCATGATATAAACATAATATTATTCCAACTATGTTCATCAATTTGCTCCTTTTGTGGCCATATATTTGTTAGACCATACATATAAACGCGATGCATACCTATTTTTGGAGTTAGATGGTAAGAACACTCTCGATCTTCAACACGACGAAAATAAACGAAATATAATGGTAAACGAAATTTTAGCACTTTGTTCGGATGACTGGCATTATGTTTTAAAGATTTTAAGAAGACGGAGAAATCTTTGTATTATTTTTGTTGTAAAAACTCTTTGTGTAAAATGTGCAAAAATCTTTATCTAAAACTCAAGTCAATTGAAACTAAATTGACTTATTAAAACTGAAGCAATTCAACATTTACACCGTAATGAAAATGGCTTTCCGTATGCAAATCCTGTATAAGATTCTTGTCTATTATAGACAATACCTAACATCGTTATTTGCTAAAATGTTGAAAAAATCTTTCTAAACTTCAATTTAAATTTCAACTATCACAGGGATCTATGATTCGATAATGGAACAAGAATTTTAGCATATAGTTTATTTAAGATCAGGAATTCTTCAATTTATAATACAGACTCATCACACGCTACGTGAAAAGCAACCATCGAATCAGCAACAACATAATTTTATTCTTTTAAGGAGTTTTAGCAACTCCACAAGAATGTTGCGCTGCCGTAGTTCTTTAAGTATTGCTAGATTAAAAAAAATAATGATGAGCATACATTCTTCTTTCGCTTTGTAAGTATTGTGATGTTCACTGACTGTGAAAACAATCAATTCCTAAAGAAATGAATAATGATAATGATTCAGTGTTTACATAGCGGTACTAAATATGGAGGCCAACTAAAAGATTGGCAACATAAGGCTCGTTTAACCAATAAAATGAAGTTCATGAACAATGCCGGATATTAAATAAGCCTTTTAAAATCTACTTTCAATTAAAAAGTTACCTCCAATGCCCTCATTCATCACGTGACTATTTGTTATCGAATAAAGAGCTTTTTCAGAGAGAGTAATTTTCCGTAATACGTGTAAATAACGGGAAATGCTAAACATAACTCAAAGTGTTATCAAAAGCGAATACATGGGCTTAAAACATCGATAATTGTGCCCTCCAGCTCTCCTCTTATGATCAATGTCTTTATGCCAATTCGAATAACAGAACATATGAACAAATATAATAACAATCAATATGTTGCACATGATGTTTCAAAGTTTAAACTTAAAACTACTGGTGGAGTACATTCAAAATTCTTTGTAGCATGTGGCCTCATGATATGAAGTGATAATAGAGAGTTTCGACAATAAAACAATACTTGATCTTGCAAAGAGGAGCTAGTATTGTAGCAAAATTCAAATGATTAAAAAACGTGAAAACGTGCAAGTTAGCAACAACGCACTTTGCAATGAGCGGTCTTTCGCAGTTACCAATCGACTTTTAACTGTACTACAAACTTCTTAGCTCCCCAGTTAAAATGCAGACAAAATGCGAGCTTTAATTTTAATTGCTCCTATGAAATAAACAGGTAGCTTATTTTTCAAATATCAAAACAAGTAAGTTTAGTAAACGAATAGCATAGATGAATGATGTTTTGTGATATTCAGTGCTCTCGTATTATGAGGAAAATTCTCAAATTTCACGAATAACGTTTTGTTACTCGTCAGGATGATTGAGGGTGATACTATTTTCCTTCCCCGTTTATCAATTATGGGCCATCCTTTTATGTCCCCCAACTAGGAAAATTGAACTGTGAGAAGAGACTTGTTTTTACTTCCTTCTGTGTTTGAGCTGAATCTTCTAAAAATTCATTTATAACACGTTTGCTCTCTCCATGTAGTTTGTGTCAACGACGTAGCTGCATGTAATAACGCCAATCTAACCATAAATGTCACATGTCAAGAAGCAACATCCGGTTCAAGTTGCGTTGAAGATGTTGTGAACGGTCGAGCGGACATGACTTTGGCTTCAGCTGATCATATGGTCCAGAACGGTAAGAAATCCATTTATTTATTATTGTATTTAGTCTAGTGTATAAAAATTGTACTCAATAGTACTCTGCATTGTACTCAATAGTACTCTGAATTGTACTCAATAGCACTCTGCATTGTACTCAATAGTACTCTGCATTATACTCAATAGCACTCTGCATTGTACTCAATAGTACTCTGCATTGTACTCAATAGTACTCTGCATTGTACTCAATAGCACTCTGTATTGTACTCAATAGTACTCTGCATTGTACTCAATAGTACTCTGCATTGTACTCAATAGCACTCTGCATTGTACTCAACAGTACTCTGCATTGTATGTATGTAAACAGCACGTCATCTGCACATCAGAATCTCAGAACGTTCAAGAACTTCAGCGATGACAAAAAATACCTTCCACAACCCCCTATATCTAGCAAGTTCTCCGACATACCACTTCCAGAAATCTTTGTTTGATTCGATGATTTCCACAATCAACTTCGGGAATCTCACGTTATCTTTCTTTTCATGAACGTCTTCTATTCGTTAACTGAAACATTCATTCAATGTCTAAAGTGTACATACGAACGTTTTGAAAACATTCTTCAACTGTTTTGACCTTGTTTTCTGTAATCTCCCGCCTTAGGTCATCTTTGTTTGTACCATCTCACTTTCTTGTGATGTAATAGTCTATAAATTTATATTTATACAGAGCAATCTAATTTATATCAGTAAGGCGATGTAGTTTAAATATTTAAGTAGAGCATTAATCTTTATAATACGTAAGCAGAAACTATGCAAGCAGTCCAGTTTCCATATTAGTTTCAGCACTGGACGAAGAATGCGAACATTCAGAAATGACACTCCATCTAGAATCTTTCACTGTTTGTAAAATTTTACAACATATTTTCTCTTAAAGTAAATGGTTTGAACCCAAGAGTATCGTTACATGTTGTTATGACTAGTCAACAACAACAAAAACAGTCTTTCTCAGGACTATACCAACATGGACGATCTACATTTACAAACATATTTTCTCTTCTTAGCTGACAATCTCCAAATTGTCTATGGTCAAAAATTACCAAACCTCGACAACTTTATCCAATATTATGGTTTGGCTGTCGTGAAGAAATATACCACTTTCAATTTCACCTCCCTGCGATATCAAAAATCCTGCCATACTGGAGTAAGGAAAACTGTCGGTTGGAAAATACCTGTTGGCAGTATGATATTCACTAAAATGATGCCTTTTACCGAGAACCAGTACGTGTCTGCTTCTTATTTCTTCTATCAGAGTTGCGCACCAGGTAAGATATCTTTAGTATTAAATATACAGTAAATAAAATTTTTGTAGAAAATTGATGCGTGACAACAAGTCATTGTTACTTTGTGATCACTAATGGTGATTTTTCAAACTCATGTACAATAATATCCATATGTACACATTCATATCCATATTTAGGTGCAAGAACCATCCAAGGAATCAGCGGAGCAGTGAAAAACGTTCTCTGCTCTTTGTGTCAGGGATCATGCGCACAAAATTCTTCTACAGAGCCATATTACAACTACGAGGGAGCTTTCAAATGTATGGCTGATGGTTACAATGATCGTGTTGGTTTTGTAAAAGAGACAACAGCTGCAGAATTTTTAAATAAATCTCTCAATTATGGAGTACTCGGAGATTATAAACTACTTTGTCCAGATGGAACAACAGCTGGTAAGTTTTGAAAAATATCTCCATCTGGGATGTTTGAAAACAAAGAAAGCATATTTTCTATAGAAGGAAAAAATTCAACAAGTTGACACTAACATGGGTTCGTATGCATTTTAAAACATCAAGGTTTTAAGTTTTAAACATACACGACAATCGGATCCACCACATCCGAAAATGGATAAAACAAATAAAAGAGAGACTGATTTTTTATTAATGACCATACTTTTCATTTCATATAGCTTTAGATCAATACAGAAACTGCTACATCGGAACAAGACCATTGTACGCCATTGTCACTGGGAAATCAACAACCTCTGCTACAATTACACAAATTCAAAACATGCTTAACGGAGCTGATCTCAATAAGTTAATGTCAGCTGGAATAGTAACCAACAACATCGAAAGATTGGTGAGGTATACTGGTGAATCTGTCAAAGACTACGTTGGATCATACGGAAATTATTTTAATGCTCTTAGTGGAAGCACAGGTATGGGATTAGATAACAAACTGACCAACGTTTGGTGTCATTCCATTGTAACTCAGAAGAAAGCTCTTAGCTTTGCATTAATTTACTGCAAGGATTTTAATGATGAACATTGGCAAATTAGGACTCAATTTTAAAAAATCTATATCATAAAAAGCTAATTCACAAATTTTTCTCGCGCGATATGGAGTAGAATAGATAGTTGAAATATATTACGGACCCTGTGGACGAATGAAAATCTAATACATTTCTAGAGTAACTCAGTTGTTTCAAACACCTTGCGTTATCTGTTTCAAACAATAATTACAACGCGTTCCCCCTTCTTTGTTTAGCTTTCTTTACTGCCTGTGTCAGCGATGTATCTGCCTGCAGAAAGGCAGGATTGACGAATGTGGCGTGCGTAGGAGCAAAACCCGGTTCAACTTGCGCAAAAGATGTCGCTGACGGTCGCGCACATATGACTTTGGCTGCAGCTGATTCCATGGTTCAATATGGTAAGAGCTTCCATTTCCAAACATGCATTTACAAAGAGTAATATACCAATCTTTTTGAGAGGTGAACTACGTTAAAACTATTTTTCGATGATAAATTGCTCTAGGTGAAGTGCTACGCTTTGCTAGATTTCATGTTTTAACTGTATGTAAAAATTTTTACAACATATTTTCTCTTCCTTAGCTGACAATCTCAAAATTGTCTATGGTCAAAAACTACCTAACCTCGACAACTTTATTCAATACTACGGTTTGGCTGTCGTAAAGAAAAACACAACTTTTAATTTCACCTCCCTGCGGAATCAAAAATCCTGCCATACTGGTGTAGGAAAAACAGTCGGTTGGAAAATCCCTGTTGGTTATTTGTTATACAACAGAGAGATGATGTTTACAAATAATCAGTATGAATCAGCTTCAAATTTCTTTGGACAAAGTTGTGCACCAGGTAAGGACTGTTACCACTTTTATTTGTCTTGGAAACTTGTCGTGGATTCAATCAAAGTTTCAATTAAATTGAAGAATAGATCTTATTCGGCAGTTTTCACCTGTTAAATTGTGGCTGTCCTTGAAAATCTCACGCATGCGCACGTGTTTTTCTACATTGTTGTTTACCTCGACTTCATTGGTGATGACGTGTTTGTACTTTATTGCTATCTTTAGGTATTAATGACATCGAGGGAATCAGCGACGCTGTAAAGACGGATCTTTGCTCTTTGTGTAACGGATCATGCGCACAAAATTCTTCTACAGAGGCATACTACAACTACGAGGGAGCTTTCAAATGTATGGCTGATGGTAACAATGATCGTGTTGGTTTTGTAAAAGAGACAACAGCAATGGAGTTTTTAGATAAATATCCCAGTTATGGAAACAGTAGCCACTACGAACTTCTTTGCCCTGATGGAACAAAAGCTGGTAAGGTGGAGTGTGAGTGGCCGTGTAAACACTTCTGGTGTTGACCATAATGCCTATTGTTTAACGCTGTTTACACGATATGGCTGTGAATTATTTCCAATAGCATGTTAAATAGAAGCAGTAGATATCGCTTGGGTTTTATGTGTTGACGAAGTGGATTTTTATGACATGACATTTTTCTCCTTCAATATTTTTCTTTTAAAGTTTTAATCGACTAATCACTTTTATGATTTTATATTCTACCATTACTGTGTCAACCAGGGTATTATAAACATGTTACATATAAATCCGCTGAGTTGTTTGAGCAAGCGATGTCTCTAGTAAATAGATGGCAGAAACAGCAGCAAGCTATGTATGACATTAGATTTTGTACACATTTTTTATTGCAAGGTGTTGAAATTTTACCACGGAAAGTTTTTTTCGCAATTCATATAGCTTTAGATCAATACAAAAACTGTAACATCGGAACAAGACCATTGTACGCCATTGTCACTGGTAAATCAACATCTTCTGCTACGATCAAACTAATCCGAAACATGTTGAACGGAACTGATCTCAACAAGTTACAGGCAGCTGGAATAGTAACCAACAAAATTGAAAGATTGTTGAGGTATACTGGTGGATCTGTTAGAGAGTACGTTGGATCATATGGAAATTACTACAATGGTCTTATTGGAAGTCAAAAAGGTATAAAGATTGCCAAACAAAACGTAGCCATTGTGTTTATCGCTCATAAACACAGATTGCACAGAGTTGTGATTTTCCTGCAGGACTGATTTGTGGATTAACTTGTGGATAAAGTGCAACTTTATCCACAAGTTTAATTGTCTTACATCAAAAGTACTTTTCTTCACTCTGAATGGTACTTCCGACCAACTTCAAAGTTCTTATCCTATAATGAAGTTGACTGTTCCATTTCATCAAAAATCCTTTGCCTATTCCCATTCTTTTCCACTTTTTTCAATTCGACTTCCTTTTCTGGAGTTGGAAAAGTATATCACCAAAACAATTCATTTGTAATACACATTTGATTTCAATGCTATGTATAGCTCACGGACATAAATGACGATCATTTATTTTTTACGTAAATTTTATACACATTTAATCTTTACCGTTTAGGTTTCTATAAAGTTTGCGTGAGCGATGTATCTGCGTGTGGGAACGCAAGCTTGCCAAATGTGACATGCGTAGCAGCAAGATACGGTTCATCATGTGTGAAAGATGTTATAGATGGACGAGCCCACATGACTTTGGCTGATGCTGACTCGATGGTTGAAAATGGTAAGAAAATTATACATGTATAAAATAAACGTGGAGTGTTCGGATGGGAATGCAAGGAAACAATAAATTCATTTCTTATTCTTAAAGAAAAAATGAGCTCAATGTCAATATCATGTACTATAATGAAGACACTAGGCTGGAGTACACAGGGACTTTAGTTTCAACTTCCAATGACTCCTGATGACGACAATAGACTGAAATATATAAAAACTTAAATTTCAGTATCAGATCACTTCTGATGAAGGCACTAGACTGGAGTACTGGAGTATAGAACTGAAATTTTAACATCAGATCACTCCTGATAAAGATAATAGACTGGAGTATATAAAGACTCAAGTTTCAACATTAGATCACTTCTGATGAATACATTAGACTGGAGTATACAAGGACTCAAGATTCAACACTAGATCACTCCTGACGAAGACACTAGACTGGAGTATATAAGGACTCAAGTTTCAACATCAGATCACTCCTGATGAAGACACTAGACTGGAGTATATAAGGACTCAAGTTTCAACATTAGATCACTCCTGATGAAGACGTTAGACTGGAGTATACAAGGACTCAAGTTTCAACATTAGATCACTCCTGATGAAGACGTTAGACTGGAGTATACAAGGACTCAAGTTTCATCATCAGACCACTCATAACGAACATACAAATCGTTACAAGTATATAAAACAACTCGCATTTGATCAAAGATAACTAGGCCACCATAATTCACTGATCTATAACGTACATAAAGACTCCGTATTCAAATGTTGAATAGCACCAAGCGAGTAAAAAATTAAACTAAAGTAAAAGGACTTTGACGTGCAAACATGACCCAGGTTTTATTCGACTTCATGTTTTAATTGTATGTAAAAATTTTTACAACATATTTTCTCTTCCTCAGCTGACAGTCTCCAAATTGTCTATGGTCAAAAACTACGAAATCTTATACCTTTTATTCAATATCACGGTTTGGCTGTCGTAAAGAAAAACACAACTTTTAATTTCACCTCCCTGCGGAATCAAAAATCCTGCCATACTGGTGTAGGAAAAACTGTCGGTTGGAAAATCCCTGTTGGTTACATGCTCTTTCATGAAATAATGACGTACACAGACAACCAGTATAAATCTGCTTCGGATTTCTTTGGTGAAAGTTGTGCTCCTGGTAAGATATCTTTTTTATTTATCATATAATAAAAAATATTCTCACATAGTCTTGCAGCAAGACATTTTTAGTAAGGCAAAGCTATATAAAGGTGTGCATACATTTGCTTGGGCTATGTATTAAGTTTGTTACATGACGTAACGTGAATCTACGACTGCTGTACAAACATTTTGTCGATATTGCCATTATGTAATGAGTGCATGAAACATAGCGACGACAACTATTATTTCAACTTTATGAAAAAATCGTCATGTTTGTTTTCGTTGATTAAATTGCAAACAATATTTGGCATTTGTAAACATTTTGATGTAATGTAATTAGCAAAAATTTTTCCCCTTTCCCACAACTGTGCAAACCATTGCAAAGATTTTTGAGCGAGATACCCCACTTTAGGTATTAAAGCCATCCCGGATATCAGCGTGAATGTGAAGATAGATCTCTGCTCATTGTGTAACGGTACATGCGCAAAAGATTCATCGGAGCCATACTACGGTTATATGGGAGCTTTCAAATGTATGGCTGATGGTAACAATGATCGCGTTGGTTTTGTAAAGGAAACGACAGCTAGTGACTTTTTAGAGAAATATTCCAATTATGGAGTACTTGGAGACTATAAACTACTTTGCCCAGATGGAGGAACAGCTGGTAAGTTGAATAAAATTGAATTATAAAGAAAATGCGTTCATTCTTTAACATTATTCACTAGCTTTTCTCATCGAGTTGTGATTCTTCGTAGCGTAGAAAAAATTGAAAATTACCAAACAGAGACTTAATAACATTTGTCGTAGTGAAAAATGTTTATATTGAAAAGCATATTGACGACAATGCGTAACTTAAGCCTGGGTAGTTATGAAAAGAACTGTCTACACATAAAGACAAAGGTATAAAGTCTTGAAAATATACTTAGGCTAAGCACTCAGTACAACATTCAGAAGAATTTACAGTGTCATTTTTCATAACTACACTGCATAATTCTGTGGTGGTACAATGCGCTGATTTCCGCAGGTATTCAAACAACAGCTTATAAACTCAATTACTCGTTTGGAAATCAGTAATTTTGACGTTCTACGATATTTTTTGCTTGTGCAAAGATTTATTTTCACATTGTATTTCAAAACCTGCGCGACCATGATTAAAACAATCGTCAAGGTTATCACTGAGATATTCCAATATTCAACAAAGACCTTGTTCTTAAACAAAAGGTGTGATACCTCAATCTGCAAACGGAGTGACTAATAAAAGACGTCTTCTAAAAGAAAAGTGGTATAGCTTTTATCATTTTGTATCAACCATATAGCCTATCAGTTTCTTTTATGTTCTGTTATGTTATGTAACCTTAGAAAGACTAACAACGACAGTTCGTTTTATTCCAAACAGCTTTAACTCAATTCGACGACTGCCACATCGGAACAAGACCAGCTTTCGCCATTGTTACTGGTAAATCAACAACCTCGACTACGATAACGCAAATCCAAAGCATGTTGGAAGGAGCTGATCTCAATAAATTAAAGGCAGCTGGAATAGTAAGCAAAGATGCAGAGTCGTTGGCCAAGTTTTTTGGATCTGTTGAATATTACGTTGGATCATATGGAGATTTTTACAATAGTCTTACTCAAAAAAAATCAAACGCAGCGCCATCTTTGATGCTGTCATTTGCTTTGCAAATCACCGTCATTTTGATTTTCTGGCTCGTGGCTTAAATCACGCAGCTACTAGTCTACAATTCAGTCTTCTTATGAAGTAACCTGAACATTAATTTATCATTGTTCAAAAAGTACAAAAAACACAACCTTCTTAATTCATACGCCATAAAATATATGTTGTAGGAAATATATATTAAGTTTAAAAAACATCGTAACCCATAATACACCAAAGTATAAGAGCTCTATGCATTATCTTATTGTATGCAATTTCTTATAACAATACGCTTGAATTAATCTTTAATTATATTTAACTATTTTAAGACTTTAGTCACCGTTGTTGAATTTGTATTAGTCCTTAAAATAGTACCTATATAGCACTTGCATGTCAATGTTAAGTCAACTTTATTGCTTTCTTTGAGCAAACTTACGGATATAGAATATGAATTTAGTTGACCAAAACGCTACAATTTCTATCTAAGAAATAAAGATGTTTACTGTGTTTCCACAGGCTTTATTTAAACCGAGAAGACCTTTGGGAGAATTCAATGATCCTGAGATAAAAGTATGTTTGTAGTATTTTAAAGTAAATGGTTTGAACCCGGGAGTATCGTTACATGTTTGTAAATGTAGATCGTCCATGTTGGTATAGTCCTGAGAAGGACTGTTCTTGTTGTTGTTGACTGACGTTTCGACAACCTTAGCGGTAGTCATCTTCACAGTCAAAAATTTTTGACTCTGGGCCATTCAGCGAAATAAATTGGCAAACGATTGAGATAGATGATAACCCAAGTTTTAGACTGAGTATTTTACGTATTGTCGCTTTATTTATGGAATGCTCGCCATGTTGGATGAAATCTTCTTCGTAAGTAAGGAAAATGCTTTGTTAAAATCATCCAACATGGCGGCTATGACGTAGCTTGCACACCAAGGATGCAACTTATCACATTGTGAAAAGGAAAGCCAGCGGCAAATTAGCGATAATAGTATGCTTTTCTTATAAGGAGTTTTTACAATTTTCCAGTGGAATAAATGATACAAAACGTGGCTCTGTAAGCCTAAGTATTTATAGATCAAATAAAAAATAGTGGTAAACGTACCTTTTGTCCTTACTTTGTAAATATTCTGGCATTCACTGACTGTAAAAACAACCAATTTCTAAAGACGTGAATAATGACAATGATTCAATACCATTCTATATATTAATTATATACGAGTAACTGCATGAATAATTATTTAGCTATATAAACGGCATTACTGAAATACATTTTACAGAAATTGCTACACAAAACTCATAACTATTAAAAGCTAATAACAAAACACACTAAATCATAGCAATGTAATCAATATATACATTGTCAATGTTTAAAGTTCAAAGAATATTATGACTATGACGACTGGTGTTGGTCATTAATAAACCCTTAATAACCGAGCTCGAGGCCTTTACGGAGAAATAACGGATCGAAGTTTTTTCGTCCTTGTTGTTTTTTTACTGGTTTGCTTTCACGTTTCTAGTTTTCGTCCATAAAAAATATATCGCTTCAAATTGTATCGTCTGGATAGTTGAACTGTTTCCAAGTGTTTTTCCTTCGAATCACATTTGTAAATGGTTTTTTCTTTCATTTATTTTGCATTTTGCTGTTTGCATTACGAAGTTTGTTTACATTTGACTGTAAAATTACGCGTTTTGAACCGTGGTCGATTACGGGAAAATAATGAACCGGCAAAAAATGTTTCTGACCCAATCAAAGCGCGCCATTTTGCCGGAAGTGACGCTTGCCATATAATAAGGTTTTCCATGTAACATGTGGGCTTATGATTGGAAATGACAATGGGCAATGTCAATTATAAACTGATGTTTAATCTCGCAAAGATAAAAAGTATAATGCAAAATTGCAATGATTGCAAAAATGTGGAAACATGTAAGTTTGCAAAAACGTGATGAAATTTTTGCATTCCTTGCGATAAATGAACTTCCTTGTAATTTCCAGTCGATTTCGCACAAGTGAATCACCAAGTTTTTAAAAAATGCCCTCTCAACTGACGATTTCTTTTATCACAAAGAGGCAGTTTTCAAGAACTTAAGAGTTGACATAATGAGTAAATTGAACACTTAGTGAAATGAACACGAAGCCATAAGCTCATTTTATCAACAACCTAAATGTGTATATCTTTATTTACATGCTGAGGACTGGGGTCTAATATCTCAATTGCTCTGGCAATCACATTCGGCTAACATGGTCAATTTGGTCATGGATGGCCGTGGTACACAGACGGCAGACCACCATGGACATTACAGACAACCACACTGTCCAGTGTCCACATAATCTTGCATTATTTATTTCAATTTTTCAACAACCAGCATTTCGAAGCAAGAAGATTAATGATCAGAAGTAATTATAAAATGTAAACAATAAAACGCGTGCGGTGATTGGTCTAGAGCCGTGTTTGCATTAGCCTGTGCAAAACACATCTGAGCTCAACCAATCAAATCAATCAAAACAATCAATCAGTCAAAGAGAATTTGCAAATCGATCATGAATACATTTTAGAAGAAAATTTAAAATGTTTTTCTTTTTCGCATTATTGTTATTTTATAAAAGAAATAAAAGATGTTTTTGTGTTTGCACAGGCCAAACCTCGGAGACGTTTGTGAGAACTCTCGAGCATGTGCAACACTCGAACTTCGGTCTCAGGCTTGCACTGATCTGCTCTCGAGTTCTCCCAAAGGTCTCCTCGGTTTGCATAAGCCTGTGCAAACACAGTAAATATCTTTCATTTCTTAAATACTGAATGGACGCCAAACCTAATGTTATATAAATGCAGATGTATCTGTGTGCTGCAAAATATGTCAAGCTTGTTGGTGTCGGCAAATATCCAAGCACATTGATCCTTATCAAAATATGCTTGTCCAAATTCGCTACAGATAATTTGATAGCTAATTAAAATACAAAATGCTCTATTTCAAATGCCATCCTTAAACACACAAGAATATTTTTGTACAAAAAATCAAATGAATGATTTGTTATTTGTATGTTTGTTGTTATTTGTATGTTTGTCTGCTTCGGTTCGTCTATTTTAAAGTTGGATGTTTACGGAATATTTTTCTATTTGTAAATACGTCTAAGATATTACATTCATTTTTTGAAATTATTTTTACTAATTTTACAACGCAATTTTTCGCCATCTTGACTTAACTGTTTGTAAATCAGTTGAATTTTATCGTCATTTTGTAAACAATGCTTGAAAATAATGCATAAAGTTCAGAGATTGTATCGAAACGTCGCAAAATGAAAATTAGTATCGTTTTTTTCGTTTCTAAATTGTTTTTTAAAAACTTGACTGTAGAAAGCAGTTCTC